GGAATCCCACCAAATGATCCAAAGAATGAATAGCTATGACTCCTAAGAACTAGATAATCAGGGGGTGGCTTGTCTCTCAGTTTTCTCTTTGTCATTCATTCCAAGGTATCTTCATTAAGCCAAATGTTCAATTCAATTTATTTACAACCATATTTCTGCATAATTATCAACTTACATGTAGCTAAAATTGACTCAGAATGCACATATAACCTAAAGGTGTCAGTGTCCAAATCCCTCTGGCATTGTTACTATCAGTCATTGAAGAAAAATGTCCAATGGCCATTGGACAACCAATAAACTGAATAGCATTTACGCCAACTGCTCATTGAACAGATATTACAGGTTTTCTGTATTTAGCAACATCTCTATTCCATAACCCTCCACAAACCCCCAAATAAATATTGCAACAGAATCATCAGTCACCCCAAAAATGAAAGTAACTGATTACACAGTCAAAGGACATCTGAGTGCTACTTGCTTTTCTACTGTTACACCAATACAGGAGGTTGTGCATTTTTCAATACTGGTCTACTGTGTCAATGCTAATGGTTTAATTGTTTAATTTCACTAACAGTTGACATTAATTTAGGACCTATTCAGATCACATATTCAATGCAAAGGGGGTCTGAGTTTAGGGAAATGAGGACTCGGTAAGAAAAATCTAGAATTAAAGAGAAATTGGGGAAAATCGTCCCTTTTTTTGTTCTCAACTTCTTTCTCCCCATGCTTTGGCCTGCTGTGAGAGAATGGGGCTTTCTAGAACTGGACTTTCCCAGGTCTATATCACATTCTCCCAAAGATCATGTCAGACACCAATAGCAAGGCATCCAATGACACCTTTTTTTATTCTATCGATCCCGTTAGGCATTTTTGACCAGTCACGTCTTCAAACTAAAATGCAAATAAATTCCCCATATCATTCATTTCATAGTTGAATAGCCAGCATGTGTTGAACATGCAGTGTCTCCTGCCCTGGAAGGTATCCATGGAAGTGATGTGCAAATGTAATAGAAGGCCAGGCCATTCCTGTATTCTACCTGAAAATGTTGAGAAGGGAGATGGCCATATCTGGCCACATAATAGAATAGATGGGACATTCTTTAACCTACGGTTGCCTAAAGTCTGCCTTCAACCAATTTAATCAGATTCTGGGATTGTGAATTCACAACTTTTTTGAAAAAGTTACCTTGGAGATTCTAATGTGTAGCCAGGTTTGAGAAGCAGAGGCTAGCCCTTGGGGAAATAAAAGTTACTAAGAACACATGGGAAGCATATTCTAGCCAGCTGGCCGTACTTGTTCATACTTAAAATAAATAAATAAATAAGTAAATAAATAAATAAACAAAACTGGAGGACGCCTGGAAAACTCCAAGTATCCCAGAAACCAAGGAGGAGAGGGATCAGTGGTGGCCTCGTTCCTTTATTAGAACAGCAGCCACACAGTCACAGCTCCAGAAGCTGCGCATTTCATCCCAGGCCCAGAGCAAAAGGCCCCTGCCTTGTTCTACTGGATCACACACTCTCTTTAAATGCAAAGGAAAAAGGCACAGAGTGTTACTCCTACTGCAACATTATAGATCACTAACGGTAGCTACATATTAAATACTGATACTAAAATTAGGGGGCTTATTGTTAGGGGTGAAAGGAGCCAAGAGCCACCATAAAAAAATGGGGCTCCTGAGACAAACCGTTCCAGAGACGGCCTTGGGAAATGGGGAGTAAACCGGTTCACAGAGAAAGCAGTCAGCTACTAACCAGAGATACACAGAACACCTGCCTTGTAGATAAGCCCCTTCCCTACGCTTGCTCAAGGTTAACAAAGAAAGCTGCAAGGCACGTAGCAACCTATTTCTCTCTCCTAGAAACCCCCTCCCCTAATGTATCCCTTTGACCTAGTACTTTTCCACCGACATTACCACTTTTAGACTGCCATACAAGGCCTGCTACTGAAAATTATCCAATGAACTTACGCCAGCCTATAATATGTTAATTTTGTGGTTTTGCCCTTTAAAAGCTGTGTGAGATAGCTGCTCAGGGCTCCTCTCACTTGCTTGCTGCTTGCAGCAGTAGGGGGCCCATTTGTACAAATGAAATAAAATTACCTCCTGTTCTATTGCATCGTCTGGTCTGGAGTCTGTGTTTCTGGGGTCGTCACAAGAGGACACCGCTTTTGGGGTCCTACAAGGGGTTGTTGTCAAGATACAAGGGGAAGAAACAGAACTAAATGCCTGTCATAGTGGCCTCTCTCCAAAAGTGGCCTCAGAGAGTCTCTTTCCCAAACTACCTCCAAGCTTGTTGGTTTCTAAAGCTCCTGAGTTGATCAGTTTGCATATTCAGTAATTTTTTTCATTCGATTAACTGATACTGATGAATTGTTCCTTGTCAGGCATTGTCTTCAATATTACGCTCCTTCAATGGCTCCCCATGTATCTGCCTAGACACTCCTTATAATCTGGTGAATTACATTCAAGTGCTTATAGTACTACTTGAGCTGGACACATGAGGAGCTGGAGAGAAGGATCCAGAGGTCAAGAAAGATTTCTCAAAGGAGCGCCATTTTAGTAGATGTGACCATGAATGAATATGTCCTAAGCATGGGTAGGAACAGTGAGATAGACCAGTCTTTAATAGAACTGTCGTCAGATCATTGTGTCTGAACTGCATATTTGCAAAGGAGAAGTGGGGAGACAAAATCTCCCCATGAGCAACGATTGTTGAAGAGCAGTGCCTATCTATACACAATGATGATAGGATAATGAGATCAGAAAGACAAGTCTAACTGTGCCAAGGATGGACTGAAGGATGGTGGGGCTGGAGTTGGGGACACAAAAGGGCAGCAATAATCCCGAGGAGAAATGATGATGGCTTGAACTGAAGACCTTCCTGGCAGCACAATTCTAACTTCACGTGAGAAACAGACAAGGGAAAATAAAAAAAAAAGGAACTCATGACCTCCAAACAAAGAATATCTGGAATGTGTTTAATGATGTCTAAATGCTGTTTTTCTAGCAATTCAACTTCCAAAGAAATAGGTCGATATTACAAATATTGAGGCCAAGTTTTTGTTATTTTCCATTAGCTACCAGTAACAAGATTATATTAATGTGGAACTGACCAAGTCTATTGGGAAGTTAACTAATAGTCCTGTGTTTGAGGATATCCACAGGTTTCTTCACAGCTCTTAACGTCTTTACTTATCTCATCTCTGATATAGCTCTGGGGTTTTCAGAAAAGTGGCGTGTAACGTCAGCTCTGTACTTAAATCGTAAGCATCAAACCCTTGGGAACGATCAAGTTATCAGTCTTTACTACTGAAAACATAACACAATTCAAGTGGAGCTACTCAAAATGGTTCAGGTTACACTTAGGTAATATTTAGAGTGAGATGAAGACAGAGAGATTTTCACCCAAACGACTCGTTTCAATTGCCTACATTTGTGTACCAGATTGTGTTATTGTGTGAAGTCAACCAAGGGTTTAAGAAAGCTTCCTTCCCAAGAAAGGAATGGTTCTTTATGTTGATGAGGTCTAGACAAGTACAATCTCAATACTTTTCTTCCAAAAAGAAAAAGAAAAAGGGACATTATTTGTGACCCCTTAAACTTCTTCATAAAATTTTAAAACAGTTAACCCCACAGGTCTTTGGGATTCTACAAATATTCTTTCATTTGTAGTTCATCCTGGAGGTGACATGCAAAAATCGAAATACCCCAAGGCGAATAACTGATGCTTTTTCTTTTCTTTTTTTTTTTTTTTTTTAAAAAAAAAACCTTATTTATTTGAGAGGCAGAGGCAGGGAGAGAGAGAGAGAGGTCTTCCATCTGCTGGTTCACTCCGCAGATGGTTGGGACTTGGGCCATCTCCTATTGATTTCCCAGGCCATAGCAGAGAGCTGTATCAGAAGTGGAGCAGCCAGAACTCGAACTGGAGCCCATATGGGATGCAGGCACTGTAAGCAGCAGCTTTATCCACTATGCCACAGCCCCAGCCCCTGCTGCTTTTTCTTGTGTGTGCTTATAAGCAGATTTCCGTCTTCCATTCTTAGAGGAGATCCAAACGTTGAGTCTGTTCAGTGACCCCCTCAATGTGCTTCTACATCACCTTGGAGATTTGCTGGCTGCTTGGCCTCACAGTCTGGGCTGGTCCCCAAGGTGACAGAACCTTTCTGCTTCTCCAGTGGGGTATAGAAAAGTGAGACATCTTGGGCCCCAAAGGACATTTACTTTAAAATGCTCAAATAATTCCTCTGCTTCTTTCAGAAGAGGAGGAGAAGGCGGGTAAGGAAATGAGGGAGTGTGCAGCCAATTGACTGTTGGTTTTGGACAGCAGCACTTACACCACATGCCCATGAGATACTTTAATGTCTTTTTACTACAGCAGGGCTCCAAAGCAAAACTTAAAATAGTTCGCTTCCCATCCTGCAGGCTCCAAACCAAATGACTACCCAAAACCAGCCTGTGATAATGCCTTAATGACTTAGTAATGTCTCATTTCAATTACATTCCAGTTCCACAAGAGGAAAATAAAGGCCTTCCAGGCTTGTATATTTCAAGCTCAAGTCCCTGCCAGGGAGAGAAGATGGGATTTTTTGAGATTTTAGCATACCATGCAGCGGCCAGTAATGCAGGAACGGACCCTATAGTTTCCCCCGTATTTTATTGGAAGTGATTCAAATAAACTGAATTTTCAAATAGTAACTAACTTATGAAGCTGTGTTTCTGTGAGATCGTAAGATCCCCATAGCGATTCACAAACTGTCTACATCCTTTTCGTTACCTAGAAACAGCCTGCAGCACTTGTTATGAAGCCACAGTAAAAGTACAAAATGATGACTCCAAAGCGAAATGTGCCATGTGTTAGACACAAATAGACATTGCATAGTTTCAGAAGTTTGTTTTGGTGGTCCAGTTTGAACAAGGCTGGGAAATTTTTTTCCACTGCAGTTTGCGCTGCAACAGGTAGATGGCGCTGTCCGGATGGAGTCACTGCTACCGGTGAGCGCGCACCCTAACTCAGCATTCCAACGGCCGGTGCCCTAGGGCCGTTTGTAAGGCAGTTATCCCAGGTGCTAAACGCACCGAGCATTGATTTTCTGGGGAGCTGTACCTCATATTTTGCTCTTACTTGTTCCAGGTAATTAAGATGTCTATTTCTGTATTCCCAACAGAGTCTCACTTCTCCAGCACTTAAGCATGTTTTCCGGTTTTTCACTGGTGTGGTTTTTTGTTTGTTTTTTTGTTTTTTAATTTTGGTGTTTCCCCTTTCCATCCAGTTTCCTGGGAAGAACGAGTCGGGTCTGGGAAGGCAGCGCTCCTGAGCCTACGCGGTCCTCTTGGCTGTAGCTGGAACAGTCTCCTGCTTTAGGGCAACCTGCGCAGTTGAGAACATCTGAGGCTTCGCCATCACGCAGGGCCAGAAGGGATCACACATCCCGCGGAGCAGCATTCTTTCTTCTCGCCTTGAATGCTGGACGCGATCTGCACTTGCTCCGGAGGTCAGTGAGTAGTCCACAATGCATTGAGGAGTTTATGGGAAAACACAGAGCAACAAAACAAGGAAATCTATCTTTCAGGGTCCACTTCCCCAGCTGTGGAGTGGCAGAGTCAGCCATTTTTATGAGTCAGTCAACAGGGTTAGAAAACATCTGATCACTGGAAATACAGGGATTTTCCATGGCTCCATCTCATGGGTCACTTCTTGAGTGACAACTGTGGCAAAAACAAACCCCTTCTTAGAAGCTTTATCCTAGACCTGATCTACTCTCAAAAATTAAGATCTAATTACCTAGAGTACTCACACCCTATTGATTTCTATGCTAAATTTAAAGTGTAAACTTTAAAGTAATACTCAAAGACAACATCTGGCAAAATAGTTTACTTAATGTATTACAAAAATTAACAAAGCTCGTCTGTTAATGAAGCATGGCCATTTTCTGATGGCTAAAGATGGAAATACCACAGAAAGCACACCAAATGTGCAATTTTTAAGCTGGCATTCTGTATTAAAAGGAAGGAAGGAATATTTTCAAGGTAATATCTGTATCTCTTTTTTCTATAAAATTCACATGGTATTATGCAGGCTATGTATAAATTAGACACTGAGGAAGTATTCTAAATATGAGACATTAAACTCTAAAATTTCATAACATGAAAAATAAATAGCATAATATTTTGACTTCAAATATTCATTTCCAGGAGATCTCACAATATTTCTTTCCTTGCTAAAATCATGAAAATAGAAAAGGGGAAAGTGAAAAAATTTTCATCTAAAATAAGTGTTTCATTAGAATATTTTCTTGTATTTCCCACTATAAACCAAACATTCAGAACACACTGTGTCACATTAAGATAGACCTCAGTCAAATATGTCATCTTTAGCATCTGCTCTGTTGAAAAAGTGTTCCATGAGGCGAAATGGTGGCTCTTACTTACTACTGAGAATTCTATGAATGTTAAATTCCCTTTGGAAGGCAAAGATTTGGAAACCCAAATATTATATCCTCCTGATCTCCAGAGAGCAGTGTGGGAAAGGCAGAGACAGCCTTAGTCTTTGTTCACACAGGACTCTGACCTTTCTGGCCTGGTTTTAAATCAAGTCTGTGGCTGTCTGTCACCCATGTGTTTTCCCAGTGTTTGTCCAATTGTAATAGTAGTTTTTTAGAGGGATTTTCCATAGGCATAAATAATTAGGGTGCATGCCCATTGTCACATACTGATGTATGTGTTGAGAATATGCACCTAGGGCTTAGAATTCCAGGGGTCTGAGTGAGTTCAGAGAGCACTTGGGAGTGGTCATCATGGTCATGACCGTGGTCATTCCATAGACTGTGTCAGCCTCACTGGCACAGTGAATGAGCTTTTCTCCTCCAATCATAAGCGCGTGTCACACTCCCAGATATGGTCTGTACAGTATATTTGTCTTTTTCTAAGGAGGCTTTTTTTTTTTATTTGGAATATGATTTGGTTAAAGTACGAGGCTTTTTGTGTCCTCCTAGTTAGCTCAAGGGAATCTTTTTTGTGTGTTTTTTTTTTCAGTGCATCAAGCAAAATATCACTAATATAAATGCTGTATTTTTAAGATGTTATGGGAAATGTCAACATGTCTTTAGACCAAAGTCTTTCATACTGAAATATATTATGTTCAAAGATTCTACATTTAAAATGAAAACAACTGATTAGACTAACAAAAAGTCAGAAATTCAGTTTCATGCTTCTAACTGCCTACCTGTAGTTGTTCGACTCCTTCAGTTTTATTTTGCATTAATCTGCTTCTTTCTTCTTAAAATGAATTCAAGCTTTATGATTATTCTAAATTAAAATATATATTGGCAAACATTAGATATTTCATTCTATTATGTGATTATATTAAGATATTTAAATTACACTAGGTAGTAATTATAAATGTTCTAGTTTATTTGGTATACAATGATTAACAACAAAATGTCTTTTCATATTTCTCTACCCCTAAGGCTGGCTTAGAAAGATATGCATGATATAATGTATTTCTAATGTAGCCTAACTTTCTTCAGGTTAGGAAGTTATCATGAATTTAAAATAAGTGTTGTTTAAAATAAATTCATAGAAGCAAGTACTTTTTCATATCATGTCATTTTCATTTTTTAAAGATTTATTTATTTACTTGAGAGTTGAGAGGCAGAGTTACAGACACAGGGGAAGAGAGAAAGAGAGAGAGAGAGAGAGAGAGAGGTCTTCCACCCACTGGTTCACTTCCTAAATAACCACAAGGGCTGGAGTTTGGGCCGATCCAAAGCCAGGATTCAGGAACTCCTTCTGGGTGTCAAACATGAGTGCAGGATCCCAACCACATGGGCCATCTTCTGCTGCTTTTCCAGGCCATCAGCAGAGAGCTGGATCAGAAGAGGAGCATTATTTTTATTTGGAAGAGTTACACAGAGAAGGAGAAGGAGAGAGAGAGAGAGAGAGAGAGAGAGAGAGAGAGAGGGGTCTTCCATCTGCTGGTTCATCCCCAATTGGCCATAGTGGCTGCAGCTGCGCCCGTCTGAAGCCAGGAGCTAGGAGCTTGTTCCAGGTCTCCCACATAGGTGCAGGGGCCCAAGGACTTGGGCCATCTTCTACTGCTTTCTCAGGCCATAAAGAGAGCTGGATAACAAGTGGAGCAGCTGGGTCTCGAACCAGCACCCATACGGGATGCTGGCACTGCAGGCGGCTGCTTTACCTGCTACGCCACAGCAGCAGCCCCAAAAATTAACAGACCCATTATAGACCAAAGTTCTTTACAGACAGCTACCTCACATAAAAAGACATGAACATGGTAAATGAGCATAGGAAAATATGTTGCACATCATTAGGGAAACAAAAATGGAAACAACTATGACACACCACACTACCTGCTTACCAGGGTGAACAAAGTCTACAGCATAGATACTATTAGTTGCCAACAGGGATGTGGAGCAACAAGAACTCTCATTTATTTCATTTGGGAGTGCAAAATGGTGTAGACACCTTGGAATACACCTGAACATTTCTTAGATAATTAAACATATGCTTACCATATGACCCAGCAGTCACACTTCCTGATATGAACCTAAGGAAGCTAAACACTTGTGGCCTCACAAAAACCTGCCCATGGATGTTTTCTTGATTATAATTGTCAAAACTTTTTTAAAAAATGGATTTTTATTTATTTATTTGAGAGGTAGAGCTATAAACAGAGAAAGGTTTTCCATCTGCTGGTTCACTCCCCAAATGGCTGCAATGGCCGGAGCTAGGCTGATCAAAAGCCAGTAGCCAGGAGCTTCTTCCAGGTCTTCCATGCGGGTGCAGGGACCCATCCACTTTGGCCATCTTCCACCACTTTTCCAGGTCATAGACAGAAAGCTGTATAGGAAGAGGAGCAGCCAGGACATGAATCAGCGCCCATATAGGATGCCAGTGCTACAGGTAGAGGCTTAACCTACTACACTACAGCGCCAGCCCAGATTGCCAAAACTTTGAATGAATCTAGGTTTCCTTCTGTAAGTTAATGGAAAAATAAACTGGGTGAATCCACCAGTGTGAAATACTATTCAGACATGAGCTATCAAGTTGTGAGGAAAGTTAACTGTATATGGCTCAGGGAAAGAAAGCTGACCTGCAAAGGATGTGCTGTGTGACTTCATTTATATAACATTCTAAAAAACGTAACATTGTGGAAGCATTGAAAACTTGAGTGGTTGATTGGGGTTTGGTTGGAGGGAGGGATGAACAGGTGGGACAAAGAGCTATTTTAGGGCAGTGGCACTATTTCATGTGACACTGCCTTGAAGGATACATGTGATCATAGATTTCTCAACATGTGTAGGATGTGGGGCTGGCAGCCAGGGGCCAGTTTGTGTCCTGGCTGCTTTGCTTCTAACTAAGCCACCTGCCAATGTGCCTGGCGAAGCAGCAGGAGATGGCCCAAGTGCTTGGACCTCCCACGGCTACCCACATGGGAGATCTGGATGGAGCTTCTGGCTCCTGGCTTCAGCCTGGTGTAGCTTTGGTAGTTGCAGCCATCTGTGGAGTGAACTAGTGGATGGGATCTCTCTCTTTCTCTCTCTGTCTCCCTCCCTCTCTCTCTCCCTCTCCTTCCCCTCTTCCTTTCTGTAACTCTAACTTTCAAATAAATAAATCTTTTCTTTTGAATGTAGACTGTAGGACACTAATATTGAACTCAACATAAAGTATAGACTTTGGGTGAAAATGATGTACAACATAGACTTGTTGATTGGAACAAATGTTCCACTCTGGTGCTGGATGTTTGATAGCGGCAGAAGTTGTGCACATGTAAGAGCAAGAGATGTAAGATGATTCTATAAAGTTTATGCTCAATCTTTCTGTGAAACTAAAACTGCTCTAAAAATTAATCCTATATAAAGCAAAAAATTCAAAACCCAAGTGTGTGACATTGGCATTTAAGGAATTGAATTTACAAAAAATTAATGAAGCTATAAAGCACTTGCATCTCCAGGTCTCAAAATGACCTTATGGCTGTTATGTCCTTGAACCTGTGCAGGTATTTCATGGGAGTTATTACTAGCCATTGCCATAATTATCAAGGTAGAGAATAATATTTAACTTCAATTTTTAAAATTTATTCAATTTCATTTTATTTCAAAGGTGGAAAAACAGAGAGATAGAGAAAGACAGAGACAGAGACACATAGAGACAGAGACACACAGTGAGAGACAGGGAGAGACAGAAACAGAGAGAGAGGGAGGGAGACAGAGAGAGAGAAAGTGAAGTCTTCCATTTGCTGATTCCCTCCCAAATGCCTGCAAAAGCCAGGGCTGGGCCAGGCCAGAGCTAGGAACCAGAACCTCAGTTTGGGTCTCTCACATGGGTGACAGGGACCCAAGCACCTGAGCCATCATCTGATGCTCCCCAGGATGGACATTAGCAGGAAGCTGGATCAGAAGTGGAAGAGACGGGATGGAACCAGGCACTGTGATATGGGATACAAGCATTTCAAGCTGTGACTCAAACACCCTTG